GTTAGATTTAGTCCAAGACTTTTCGAGGCTAATGTGAGTGGTATTGTTTCCTTGATTCCTAGTTCTGTGTGCTTGTCATTTGTATATAGGAAGGCTACTGCATTAGCTTTGTAATTAACTTTGATGAATGTATTTATTACTATAGGAGATTTCTGGTGCAATCTTTAGGGTTATTTATTTATCAAATCATAGCATTTTCAAATAAAGATTATCTGACTTCCTTCTTTCCTAGTTATATCCCTTTTTATCTCCTTTGTTTCTTATTGCTTCAGCTAATGCTTCAAGTACTGTATTTATCAGGAGTGGGGAGAGTGCACATCTATGTCTTTTTCCTGAGTTTTACAGAAATACTTGAGTTTTTCTTTATTTAAGATGATGCTGATAGTGGGCTTCCCATATGATGTGTTTATTATGTTGAGACATGTCTCTTATATCCCTATTTTCTCCAGAACTTTTATTACAAAGGGGTGTTGGATTTTATCAGAGACCTTTCTTGTGTAAAAGGAAAGATCATGTGGTTACTGGCCTTTAGTCTCTGTATGTGATGGATTATATTTATTGATTTATGTATATTGATCCAACCCTGTATCTTTTGGATTAGTCAGACTAGATGATGGTGGATAATCTTTTTTGATGTATACTTGCATTTAGTTTGCAAGCATTTTATTGAGAATTTTTGCATCTATGCTTTGTTAGTTGTCTAATTTTGGTATCAGGGTAATACTGACTTCCTAAAAAGAATTTGGACATGTTTCTTCTTTTATATTTTGTGAAATAGTCTGAGGGATATTGGTGTTAGTTGTTCTTTGAAAGTCTGGTGAATTCTACATTGAGCCCATCTGACTCTGGACTTTTTTTTTAATTTGGGAGATTTTCCATTACTTCTTCTAGCTCACTGGATATTATAAGGTTACTTAAATTATTGACTTCATCTTGATTTAACTTTGGTACATCATGTATATCTATAAACTCATCCATTTTTAAAGATTTTGTTCAGTTTGGTAGAATGTAAAATTTTAAAGTGTGTCTTTATAAGTCTGTGAATTTCCTATTATAATAACTCCATTTTTCTCTGATTTGATTAACATTGAATTCCCCTCTCTTTCTTTTGGTTAGTTTTGTTAGTTTCCTTTCTTTTAGTTAGTTTGACCAAAGGTTTGTCAAACTCTTCATTTCATTGATTCTTTGTATTGCTTTAGTCATTTGTTTCATTAATTTCATTCCTAATTTTGATTATCTCTTCCACTCTACTATTTTGGTGTATTAATTGTTCCTGGTTTTCAAAGGCTTCAGGTGAATTATTAAGCTAATAATTGGGGATCTCTCTAAAATTGTTATGTTTATGATGTTATAAACTTTCTTCTTGTTACTGTCTTCATCGTGTCCCACAGATTTTGGTATGTTGCATTTTCATTAAGTCCTAGGCATTTTTCATTTCCTCCTTGATGTCTTCCTTAGCCCACTTTTGATTCAGTAGTGTGATATTTAGCTTAAATGAGTTTGTGTACTTTCAATCATTTCTTCTGCTGTTAGTATCCAGCATCCATGGTTGTCAGATTAATCTACTATCATTCTATTGGAGTCAATCTGTGATTTTTAAATTGAATAGTATTTCTTTTACGAAATTGAGAAATATATGTTTATTCAGTGCACATATGTTTAGGATCATAATATCCTGTTGCTGAGTTTTATCTTTAATAAGTCTAAACTATCTACCCCTCCTTATCTCTTGTGTTTAGCTTGGGTTTAAAGTCCATTTTGTCACATGTTATAATAGCCTGCTTGTTTCTTAGCTCCACTTGCTTGGAATACCCTTTTCTATCCTTCTATAATAAAATGCTGTTTATTGGTAGTCATAAGGTATGTTTCTTTAAGGGGAAAAAAGGCACCTAAAAGCAAGCAAACAAAAACTATTCAGTCCTCTGAAACTTTAGGCTAGGTGCTTTTCTTCTGAGGTTGGAGCAAACCAAGGATATCCAGCCTCATCACATAGAGTCAGCAGTGTGTTGGAGCTCTAGCTAGCACAGCAATTCAATGAAGATGTCAACAGAAAAAATAAACAAGAAACAAATGCAACTAGTATATTAAAGGTACCTCTTTAATGTATTACATAAACAAGTAAATATCCATTCTACAAAATTACCTATGTATATTTTATATCTTATTTTTAAAGGGCTCAAAATAAATCATAGACCTAAAATGTTCATCTTAAAGCAATAAAACTCTTAGACAATAGGATAATACCTCTGTGTTGAGTTAGGCTGAGATTTCTCAATTCAGTACCAAAAGTTCAGTCCGTAGTAAAAGAATTAATGAAATTTTTCTGATTAGATCCCATCAAAATTTAAAAACATTTCCCTATAAAACATAGTATTGGAAGCCAACACAAAATACAACTGATGGCAAACATGAAAAGACATTCCACATTATTAGACCTTAGAGAAATACAAATCCATATCACAGTGAGAAACCAGGCATGTATTATTAGGATGCCTAGAATTAAAAAGACTGAATCATTGGCAAGGCTGTAAAATTCTCATGCACCAGTGGGAATGCAAACAGTGCACTCACTTGAAACAGTTTGACAGTTTCTTCAAAAGCTGTATATGCAGCTGCCATGTGAATTGTTATTCTACTCCCAAGCATCTATCTATCCAAGAGTAACAAAAGCACATAGCCATGCAAAAACTACATATAAACGCTCATAACAGCTCAATTCATAATATCCAAAAACCAGAAACAACCCAGTTGTCCATCAGTGTATGAATTATAAACAAAGTGAGATGGATTCCCACTAGTCTGCAATACCAGTCAGGCATAGATTGGCACTAACTAGTAATGCACACTACAGCAAAAATGAATCTAGAACATGACTACACAATATTCAATGCTATTTATCTTAACTCATGGGAATTATAAACCAATCTCTAGTAATAGAAGTAGATCAGTAGCTGCTTAGGGGTGGACCAAGGAAAGAGAAGGTAAGATTTCACTGATGTGATACCTGGAGACTTTGGAGTACTGATGATACCGGTTTCCTTTGTGTGGTAATGCTTTCATGAGTGAAGACATATGTCAGCGCTTATCAGACTGCACTTTAAAGATGTGCATTTGTTGGAGGCCAAGTATGTCTCACTAAAGCTGTCACTGAAAATGCATGTGTTATCTTGCTAAAATGGTGTCCTCAAACATCTGACAACCTCAGTAATAAGCTTTAGGTGTTTTCACAGCCTGGTGAGTAGGCTAGGCAGCTCTGTTAGTGTTGTTTGCCGATGCTTCTCTGCCTTGAAGCCAGACAGCTGATGGCTTATCTAGACTGGCCTTGACTGGGATGATAAGGCAATTCCATTCCATGGATCTCTCATGTCCCAGTGGGAAGACTGGTAGTGGCAGAGATGCAAGAGAGTAAGCCAAATTCTCAAATCCACTTTTTGTCTCTATTTGCATTGTGTCTAGAAAATCCCGTGGCTCAGAGAATGTCACATTGTTGAGGCCAGAGTCAGAGGGAGGCAACTCTCTACCACAGACAGATGGCTAAATTGCATGAGGGGTATAGATACCAAGAGGTGCATAGGGCCAGAGGTGTAATTACCATCTGTTCACAGGAACTGTTACTGAGATAAAGCCAAAACAGACACCTCAAATGGTGTCTTGCTCCTGTGAGTCATGTTTAAAGAATCTGTTAGGGGTCTGGTAATGTATGTCAGTGGTCAAGAGTTTGCCTAGCATATGCTCCCCAACACTGAAAAACAGAAAAAGGGAATGGAAAGAAAAATGATCAAGTACAAAATGAGTGAATTCTACTGCCATGAGGAAATTCTCCCAAACAGATTGATTAGAATGATAAACACCAAGATTTCCTTGAAATCTCCTCCATCTGAGAGTGTCCAGAAGTTTCTACCATAAATCCAGACCTTTTCCTTTGTTGCTTCTCAGTCCTGGCTCCACTGTGTCTACTGCATAGACCTGAGCCCACAGGAAGCCTCCGGGCCTAGCTTAGAGTCTCTACAACTTCCTCTGTGTTAACAAGCCTTATTATCTGGCTGAATGGGCATAAACTGGTTCAACATCCCTGCCCTGTTCTGGAAAAAGCAAACAGCATGTCATGGTGGCGACAGGCATTCTGTTTCAGTACCTGATGGAGTATTGTGAGAACACAGGCAATGGCTAATGGAACTATGATAAGACCTAGTCTATTCTTCTCAGCCCTCTCAAGGGGAAAGAACAGGCCTGTTTGCATAGTCTACTTCATTAACACATGGACTCACTGTGGACAAAGAGCCCTTCATCATTCACTGACATTGCTCATTGATTTTCCTATCTTAGGTCCTCTTGAAGCCTTCTCAGTATAAAAGTCCAAAGTCCCATACTTCTCACTATGAATTGTGTATCACCCTCTGTCACTCTGTAGGGGCTCAGAGGACTCAGGCCAACATGGGGTAAATATCACCTTAAATTCAATTCTGAGTGAGTATGTTTTTGATTATTAGAGCCACCTTCAGAATGAATACCTCCTTAATTCTAGGCAGCACACCTTCTGGATTTTAGGTGACTATTTTATGTTTGGGCATGCCACATAGCAATCACAAGCTCAGTGATCCCAGCAAGAGAGTGGAATTTAGGCAACTTTTACCCATGGCAAAGCACAAAACACAAACCCTGGCCTGGGCCAGGATGGCAAGAGTCTTGGAAGCCATCACAGAGAGTAGCCATGAACCTACAGGGCTGCTTCCCTTAGTTCAGGAAGTCTCTGGTGCATTCAGGCTGTGGCTTCTGTGCTGTAGGGCTGGGGATGTCTCCAGGCTCTTCCTGGGGTTTGGGGGACCACCCAGAAATCTTCCTACTCTCTTTACATAGCCACAGCTGTCAGTAGACATGGAAGAAGACCATGCTATTCTTCAGATCTCAGGAAGAAGCTCACACCAGTCAAGAGCCCTCCTAGGACAATGCTGTAGAGTGGTATACCCAGACCCACTCTTCCTTCTTCTCTTCCCCTGCAGTGTTGATCGGAGTGGGCACCGAGACCTTCCTCCGAGGGCAGTTCAAGAGCCTGGCCTTCTATCTGCTGTGAGTATGCATACCTGTGCTCTCCCTGTCTGCACGCTTTGTTCCAGCTCACCTCATGTCTGTCTACTACACAGAGTAACATAGGAAAACCCACTTCCCATGCTAAACCCACCCCATCCCAGAGGTGGAGCCATAGAAGCTTCTAAGTCCTGCTTTGGGAAGACCCCATAAACCAGCCAATACCTTCCATACACACACATGCATGCGTCTGCCTGCCCTTCCATACATCCATCTGTCCATCATCCACCCATAAATCTATCTCATTCATACACTATACCCACTAATGCACCCATGCACCAGTGCGCCTATCCCTCACAAATCACTCTTCCATCTAGTCACCCATCCAAACGCCCACCAATCTTTCCACCTACCCATTCATCCATCTACAGACTTGCCTATCCACTAACTCACCTAATCACCTATTGCCCCATCCACCATCCATCCATCCATCCATCCATCCATCCATCCCACCCATCTACCCACATACCCATCCAGCCACCCTTTACCCACCAACTCTATGCATCATCTAACCATCTACCCACACATTCACACGTCCAGGCATTCCTATAGTTACTTATTCAACAAACACCAATACATAAATACACATATATACATACATATATTCATAAATCTATACACACATCTATATATACATGATTAGAGAACACACACACATATATATATATCCCTGCATGACAACTACAGTTCACTGTCTTATTTGAATGATGTCATTTATCTTAGCACCATAAAAGATGTACACATTGGCCTAGTTGTAGAGATGAACAAATTCAGGGATAAGCAGCCAACCCATGCCACTGAGCTAGTGAGCAGCAGGTACCATGTTCAGACACCAGACTCTGCCTCCCAAGCTGACTCTACCTCTCCACCACCAGCTGTGCCTACCAATATACCCTGATCGGAAAAGAATGGCTGTACAGAGGTGTCACAAGTGGTGAACAAGTTGGGGGTCTCTGGGTGTATGACTCAGCATCTCTGCCATCCTGTCCTGGGCCACTAGCAGTTCCCTCCCAATGCCTAGGAAACCTCTGCATCTCAGCAATAGAATGGCTCTTTCTGCCCACAAGGTCTCAGGCTGCATCTTCTGCCCTTTCCTTCCCCTCACTGACCTGCCCTTCCCCTTGGTGGTTGACCTACGACCTGGGCAGCATTATACCCGCTACCTCAATGCAGGCTCTCTGCTGGTCCTGGAATCTTACATCTGTCACCTCCCAGCTGCATTCCACTTTTGGAGTTGATGTTTGTACTGCTAACTTTCCTCTTGACACTTGGTTGTACCTGGGAACTTATGACCCTTTCTACTGCCTGATCTTCATTTCATGTGTGCCCATGGAGCACCCAAGTACACACCCCACATCTCATCAGCTTTGGGGCACTGTCTCCCTGGGCCCCTGCGGCAAAGTTGGGCTGCCTTCTCTCCAAATACTACAGTTCATCCGAGTCAAGTAATGCAGATGCCTTCTGCCCTCAATGTCACATCTTCCTTAGGTCTCTGTCCTGTCTTGAGGGGACTCAATGCCCAGGTGGTTATTCTTGAGCCCAAGTCTCCCAGCCTCTCTCTCACCCACTCAGTTTCTCCTCTACTCATGCCTTGTTCTCTGACACCCACAGATCAGCACCAGTGTCTACCCCACCCCCCCACCCCATTCACTCACTAGCACCTTACAAAAAATCCGAATGAGTCACTTCCTCACCAAGCCTCAAGTCCCCTCTGCCCCACGATGTACTTCTTAGTCATGTGGCCTCCAAAGTTTGGGGTGGTTCCCATCTTGCACCTGCCTCTGATGTGTAGTCCTGGCCAAGGGTCTTACCCACAGTTTCCTCATCCATAACTGACATCAATAGAACTTCTGGTTTCTTTCTACAAGGCTTCTAGAATTGTGATCAGCACATTTCAATCATCATGTCCCTATCATTTCACAACCAAGGGGTAAGAATTGGGCAAATACTGGGAGCATAGGAGAGCAGGAGACAGTAGAGATTAACTGCCACAATCACACACAGAGAGAAAAAAAGAGTATGTAAGGGTAGTTACATTGCAAGTACAGCTCCAAGGGGCTTGTAGACATCTACTCATTTAATTCTTAACAATTGTATTGATGAAGCCTAAAAGTTACCCCTGGTTTTCAGGAGAGAAACTGAGTCATAAGAAGGCCAAGTTTTTCATCTACATTCACACAGCTGATCAGTAAGAGAAGTAGGACGTGAGGAGACAGTGGCCCTGAGTAGCCTGTTGTATCGACTCTCACTAGCTTGCACTCTGGTGGGTATTCACAGGGCACTCTCCTGTAAGGCCTGCCCAGGGTGGGCCCAGGTCTCACATGGTAATTATACAGAGAAATCCTTCCGAAGCTCATAGTGACTCTGGCCATTGCAATAACAAGAGTTCACGGAACAGACATCAGAGGTGGGAGACGCTTCCAAGAAGGGCTAGTTTATTCAAAGGCCCTCTGGTGCCTACTAACTTCCTGTATACCTAGGACAATGTGGGTATTATTTGTAAAGAAATTTGAAATGACATGCCATTTCAATTCTATGGGCCAGGAATGCCCTTTCTAACAAAAAATGAGATTCTATTCACAAGAATTCTGATATACAAAATTGAGAGGCTAGGCAGAAACCTACAATTTCACATATGCCTGGGGAGATTCTGATTTTAGAATGCCTGGATCAGAGCAAGCATCTTCCAATCAGTGTGTCACAGAACCCTAGGCAGCCTGGTGATTATGGAGGAGGACATGCAGGCCAGTGAGTCAGAAAGGCCAAGGGCACAGCCTGAAGCACATGAGGCCAGAGAGAATGGAAGTGAGTCTGAAGGCATTTAAGGAAGGCTCCCAGCAGCTCTTGGTGGGTGGAAAACTGGGAAAAAGACAGAGAAGCAGGATCTTCATCAGGACTGCCCTGATTTCTCTTGCTGTGATAAAAGCCATAATCAAAACAGCTCACAGAGGAAAGGGTCTGTTTAGCTTATTCTTCCACATCAAAGGAAGTCACAGCAGGAACTTAAGGCAGGAACTGAAGCGGAGACCATGGAGGAGTGCTGCTTACTGGCTTGCTCTCCATGCCCTTCTCGGTATGCTTTCTTATACAACCCAGAACCACCTGCCCAGGAATGGCACCACCCACAGTGGACTGGGCCTTCTCACATCAATTGCTAATCTAGAAAATGCTCACAGAGCCGGACATTGGTGGTGCATGCCTTTAATCCCAGCACCCAGGAGGCAGAGGCAGGCGGATCTCTGTGAGTTCGAGGCCAGCCTGATCTAGAGAGAGAGTTCCAGGACAGGCTCCAAAGCTACAGAGAAACCCTGTCTCGAAAAAACCAAAACAGAAAAAAAGAAAAAGAAAATTCTCACAGACTTGCTTACATGTCAATCTAATGGAGGCATCTTCTTAATTAAGGTCCTTCTTCCCAGATGACTGTAGCTTGAGTCAAGTTGACAAACTGAGCACAGTGCTCTACTTTATGTCCGGGCCAGCAGGCAGACATGCCTTCCAATGTCCACTCAAAATATCAAGTACAGGGCCACCCTACCTGCTGCCCTCTCCATCTTCCTCCCCTCTGCCTCCTAGCTCCAGCAACTCCAGGACAGACTCACACGCCATCCAGGCAGCACTAGGGATGTATGACTGGTAAACATAAATATACGGGGATGGGCCCCATGGTCCCTGTGTCAGTGGAAATGTCTGGGAATCAGAGGAGCTGCACGCAGACAACCTTGCTAAATCCATGGGGGACCTCCCTCACCTTTTCTATTCCATCCACAGGTTTACGGGAGTCACCATCTCCGTGTGTGAAGGGACCTACTTTATGGCGCAACTGTTGGCCATCTGCTTCAAGTAAGCAGCGTCCAGAAGTAACCTTTGCAGTGCTTCCTGTCCCAGCCCCAGATAGGTACCTCACCTACAGAGCCATGGCCCGGGTTGCCCTGCTTCTGAGGCCACTGTGGACTGGTTCTCCTTCCAGCAGCCACAAGCCCCAGCCTGGAGATGTCTTAGGTCAGCATGACCCAGTCACCGGCTTTCTGCTGTGTTCAGCTGGACAGATCCAGTCAGGGCCTGCCTCTCACCAGACTCCCTGGCAAAGTCAGTTTTCCCTACTCCAGGACTGTGGCCACACTGTCCACTACAGGCTGAGGACCCTGCAGGAGGCTTAGCCTGTGGGGAACAGAGCAGTGTGTAAGAACTGGCTTTTCTCCCAGCATTCACACCACAAAGGCCTCGCTGCTGTCCAGCCAGTGCTCAGTATGTGAAATTGTCATCATTGTGGTAAGGGCTCAGAACCTAGACTGTGGCTAATAGCCCACATAGTCCAGTCCCCAGATGACCAGTGAGAGCCAGACCTCAGATATAGCTAGCCAGACCTAACACCTTGGAGGGGCCACTAGCTGCTTCCCAGGCTCAACCCTTGATTGGCAGTGTCCCCTTGCCTCGCCCCTTCTTCTGAATTCTGCCTCAAAGGATTCTTGGTGCAGGGATGTTTTAGACCCAAAATCCTCTCTACACCATCTCCACCACACAAGGACGTGTCTGCTGGCATGTGTTTACATGTACATACACCCACAGACAGACACCAGAGGGCACCAACGAGCCATTCTAGGCCCGGTCCCAGTTTCTGGTGGACCCTTGGTGCTCTCAGAGGACAGGCATTGCTTGTTTGAAACCTGGAGCCAGGATCCCTGAAGAACTCTGCTCAGTATATCAGGGCTCTGCTTTTACCCTGGGTGGTCCCTGGGTGTCAGGAACAAAATGAAGTTTTTCTGGGCAAGTTCTGTCCTGGGCCTGGCAAGATCAGCAAGCACGGTGCAACTGAATCCCAGTCTGCTTGTTCTTCATGCAGCGTTCAGTCCCCACAGTGGTCCCGGGAGGGTGGTTCTTGTACTGCACACCATTACTGGCCTATTTAAGACTTCCATCAACTTTCCTTTCCCGTTGACTGTAACCACAGCTAAAAACAAGAGCCGGGGAAGCCTTTTAGAAACTCCATGGACCCTCTGGAGTAACTCAAGCTCTTTAGCCACAGAACCCACAGTGAAGACCCTGCACTTCTGTGGCTCCGACCCCTCTGATACTCAGACAGGAGCCACTGCAGAGATCATAGATACTCCAGGGCTCAGCCCCAGGCTCCCACAGCCTTCTGTGGAGCCGGGACTTTCCTGAAATAATTTCTACTAACCTGCTAATCTGATCCCCTCCCGCAGGTGTCAGCCAGGGTCTCTGGCACACAGAGCAAGGGAGAAGGCCCACTGGCTAGGCTGCTTCCAGAAGTTCCTAGCCTACATGCTGCTGTCTGTGGCCTGCTTCCTCCACCCTGTCCTGGTCTGGCATGTGACCATTCCAGGTAGGAGCACCAGGGGTAATGGAAGTGTGTGGGCCCTGCACCGATGTGATCTAAGCAGGAGGATCAGGTCCTGTCTCCCAGAGCCCCCACCAGGCCTTCTGTCCTCTCTGGTCCAGTATGTGAGAATGACTGCCTAATGTACACTGTACTGATCAAGCAATGGACCCTCCTGTACACAGCCATCTGGAGGTTGGACACTTGATGGGGCCCTGGGTTGTCTTCTCACTGACCAATTTCAAAGAACGAAGTGGCTAATCCTCAGCCCAGACCCTTCCACATCTCCCTAGTACCTGCCCATTCAGCCCTAAGTTCCGGGCTTAGGTCAGGAAGGCACTCTTTGTGGGACCCTCCCCCCCCAAGCAAACAACATGCCAGCCTTACCTCTTATTCCTCCTCCTAGTGCCTTGCATTGGACTCAATTTCTCACCCAGAATTGGCATCCTCACCTCTGCTCTCGTCTCTTACCTTCTTTTCTACAACCCTCCTCTTCCCTCCTCCTTATTTAAATAATCACTATGCCCCTCCCAGAGCCCATCTAAAATACCAAAACCCTCTCCAGACTAAATGGAAGGAGAATAAGCTGTCGTCTTCTTTAGCGTATGTGCCATGGGCCCTGATATGTATGTGCCAGGATTCACCCTGACACTGAGTGAGCCACAAGCCCTGCCCCCTGAAGAGGCAGACTTAGAGACCCTGGAACTGATGGGCATCGAGAATCAGGTTCATGGATTCCCATAGGTGGGCTGTGCTCCTTGTGGGAGACCATAGCAGAGGGTCTGCAGGGTAGCACAGATGAGCCATGTCCAGTAATCTCTGTGCTACCGAACATGAGAGATTCATGTCTCCCCAAGATTACTGAGTGAGAACTGGGAAATCTCCACATATCTAGAGGTGAAAAGACAGCCAACAGATTCAATATCCACAACAGCATCCGTATCTAGCAAAGCCATCACATTCCTTGCCCCCAATTCCCCCTGAGAGGGAAGCAGAGACCAGTGATGGAATTCAGGCAGTCAGTATCAAGACCAGCTCTCCATATGAAGGGAACTTGGGGCACAGAGATCAGAAAGATCCCTCAAGAGGCAGACAGAGACCTCTTTGGCATCCTGATCCCATAGCACTGGACCTATTTTATTTAACCTTTTAGCCTTGTCATGTCATCATGTCCGCCTGATGTGCATGTGTGAAGGCTGGACGTATTGGGGTGCTGATCATGGCTGTTCTACATGGTACAGCAGTGGCACCGTGGAACCAAAGGCTTGCCCAGCCTCTAGTTTTCCTCGATGGCATGTCTGTGCAGTATCTTGACCTCCCAGATCTCTTGCAGGCTCCATGCTAATCATCACTGGCCTGGCCTACTTCCTGCTGAGCAAGCGGAAGAAAAGAAAGGCTGCCCCAGAGGTGCTGGCCCCCACAGAACAATACACAGACCCCTCCAGCAGCACTGTGAGCACCACAGGCTCTGGGAACACTGAGCAAACTTATACTTTCCACGGGGCCCTCAGGGAGGGGCCTGGCTCATTCTTCAACCACATGAAAAGCATCATGAAGGGGACCAAGAAGCCACATGTCCCACAGCCCCAAGATACCCTAATGGAACTGGCGCTTGAGCCAGCTGACTCCTTGGCCAAGAAGAAGCAGGTCCACTTTGAAGACAGCACGGTCAGAATCATCCCATCCATCACTGAAGGTCCAGGTGATAGTGACAGCGGGCCAGAGGAAACTGCCTCTGACACGACCCCCATCATCTCCTCCACCCGGACCCCACTCTTTCTGCCTTCTCTCATGGGCGCTGACCTGTGCTGAGCTTCTCAGCTAGAGGTCTACAGATGGACAGACCTGCCAGAGGACTCCTCCTAGCCATGGTCCCTGTAGAGAACTCAGGGTATCCACTGGCCAGCTGCTGTACACTTCTCAGTGGTGACTGGAGTTTCAGAACTAGGAGATAGTGTATCAAGCCAGATCTGTGCAGACCTCCAGGATGGCACAAATGAGACTTTGCCACATGGAATCAACACAGCCTCCTCCTTCTTGGCCAGGGGAGGGAAAATAGATCGTGGCTCCATTCTCCACAAGGCTGCAGAGCCAGCTTGCTAAGCCCTAAAGGAACAGAAAGCATCAGCTCAGCTTCCCTTGCACCCGACAAAGGGCTCGGCCTTCAGTAAGGACCCTATGGTGCATTTGGGTGTGGTCAGCCTACTGGAGCTGAAGACCCAGCGGTATATCGGCAGTGTAAGCATCTCGGCAGAATGTATTGGGTGAAGTGGCCATGAATCCTGAGCAAGATTGTTTGGGGTAGATATGGGAAAGGATACTTCAGTTCACAAGTGAGGACAGCCTGGCGGCCGGCTACATGCTCAACATACTCTGGGCCTGGGCTGGGCAGCAGGCATTGCAGAATCACCCAGGGAAACAATGCCACTCTGTACTCACTGCCAGGAAAACTGGCCAGAAGAGCATCTCTCATTCCAGAAGGACCACGAAGGGCTTCCTCCCACCCCACCCCACCCCCACTATCTGAGCAGTGTTCAGATTCCAAGTAGATGGTGCAAGCTAAAAGAGCCTGTGTTAGGAATAACTAGGACGTAGCATTGAGTGTTCACTGTAGGTCAGGACCCAGGGGGATTGTCTTCAGACAGCCACACAACACAGGGAAGTACATCTGCCATGCTTAGGTGCCTAGGGGTGAGTGATAAACAGAGGTTTGCTTAAAATAAGGATGGGGGAAGGGAGAAGAGGGAAGAAGGGCACATGGGGAGGAGAGCAGGCAGGCAAGCATGCTCTCCATCCGGGGGCTACAGAAGTGATGGGGAATTTGAGTTAGATATTTCTCAGTAAAAAGATGTGCAACATACCTTTTAGTTCCAAATAGTATGCTTGGTCCATAGGAATATTGCCAGAAAGAACAGACATGCTATTTCTCATAGCCAACCACAGTGCATGAGCAACAGGAAGGAAGAATCCTATAGCTTGTGTCTGGGTTCTCTGAGGTCTGAGCCTCAAATCACACACTTTATAGTCTAGATAAGTAACATGTTCATTGTACAACTTTTAGCATCTATGAGGTGTGTTTTTTGGAAGTGTGAGGAAATGAGGTGGCTGATGTCAGCCTGGTGCTTAGCATGGCCAGTGTTCCAAATGGGCAGAAGGCTGCTTGCAATAGAGGATGTCTTTGCTCAGACTGCAGAAAGCAAGCTAGAAGGCCTGGAGTAGGTAGGCAAGTCAAAGCTGGACATCTGATGGATTGCTATAAGCCCTGGCCTCAGGGGCATTATTAAAGCGGCTTCTTTGATGTTCACCAATGAGGGCTGTTAGGTAGTGCAGTCAGGGGAGAATAAAACGTGGAATGGGTGTGAGTGGGTGTGTCCCTTTACTACAGGACCTCACAGTGAGGGAAGAACAAGGAAACACCATCATGACACCATGCATTAGTCTGAGGCGAGGCCAGTGTGGACCCAAGAGACCACGTTAACTCCGAATTTCAGGACTGGAGCCCCGGGAACAGAGCTTCCAGCAGACAGAAGACAGAGACTGAGGAAAGAAATCCCATAACCGGGAGGAGCCAGTGGTCTTGATCCTCTTCCTGTGCCTCTGTATTAGTTACTTTCTGTTGCTGCAATAAAGTACCATGACCAAAAGCAACTTAAGGAAGAAAGAGTGGATGCGGCCTACAGGTCCAGAGATCTAGAGTCCAGAGAAGGTCTGGTAAGCAGCAGGAGCTGGAAGCCAGCTAGTCACGTTTCAATCACACACAGGAAATGGGGGGGGGAGGTAACAAGAAACTACATGAGGCTATAAACCCTAAAACCCACCCCCAGTGATGCACTTCCTCCAGCAAAACTGCACCTCCTAAAAGTTCCATAACTCTCCCCAAACAGCGCCACCATCTGGAGAACAAATGTTCAAATACAAGCCTATGGGTGGCATTTCGTCAACTCTCGTGTATTTCTAAAAATCTTTGGTTCTTGCTTGGTTGGTTAGCTGGGTTTTCTTTTCCTAAACATCTTTATTAAAATATAATTCAGTGTCATAAAATTTACCAACTTGAGGCACACAGTTAAATGGGTTTTAGTATATTTATAAACTGAGTTCATTATACTCACTGCTATTTTAGTTCATAATGTACTCACCACACTCCCAAATGAAACCCAGCCCAGTAACCATTGAGACCCTCTCCTTACCTCCCAGTTTGTCCTAAGAAACCACTGATCTGCCTGAATCCTTGTAACTTTGATTGTTTTAAGCACTCATAATTTAAAGCATATAATTCCCTATAGCACTGTCCTTTTCTTTCACGGTATCTTCATCAGCTCTCTCTCCCCATCATTCTTTATTCTTAGTCTTTAAATGTGATTTATTTTCGTTCCCTGAACAAATATATAATGATAGTTTTGGAGTCTTGGTCAACTCTATCCAACATCTGGGGCTTCTTAAAAGCTAGGTAGGTCTCTTGCCCTCTTCTTTTGATCATGTACCATATTTTTCTTGGTTCTTTGTGCTGTAAACTCTTTGTTAGCACCTGGACCTGTTGGCCACTGCATGCTGCCCCTCTGAGGACTGGTTCTGCCTTCCTCTCAACCTGGTATCTGGCTTCTTTATCCATTTGTTTATTGACTTGGCTAGACCAGTCCTGTGAAGTCAATCTACTTTTTCCACAGTGTTCAACCTTTGATGTCCCTACTTGGATTTTTTCCCTTGATCTTTTAGTGTGGTTACCTAGGCATTTCTCCTGGGTCTGCAAAAGTCATTTTTTGGTCAATATTGGTTAATCCTGTGGACCAATTAGATACCCTTTGCTGCTGAAATGGGGAGGGAGGTAGGACTTGGAGTCACCTATTATAAATGAGGTTTTACACTTGCCCCTGACTTTAGTCATGGACAAATAGCTTTATAGCCTCTGTCTGGCTCCTAAGAAGACATGACCTTGTGTGCTGGGCTATCAGACAGTGCTTAGTTTAGGTTTAATGTTTGTATTTTTAGGAGTTGTTCCTAATTCATATTTGGCCAGAGACTATGCTTAGCCTTTTTTTTTTTTTGAGACCAATGAGCATGGACCCTTTGTTAAGGGATCTGCATGCAGAAGAAATAATTTTGAGTGTACACATATCCTTGACCGGACTGCTCCAGGAAGGGTACAGACTTCACTTAGCAGCAGTGTCCCCAACTCCCAAGATAAGCTGATCCCAAGAGGGTTCCCCTTGGCTCTCTGTGTCTTCAGTTCTCTATTAAGTAAGGGGTCAGCATTTTGTTTATTGCTACCAGCACCATGGAGTTCTGAACACCCTTTTATTTATACTCCCCAAGATGTGTTTACAATGTTCCTGAGAACTCAGTGTGAATGGAATTCTTCACATCCTGCTCTGAATGAGGTCATTCCCCCAGGCAGAGCTCTGACATTTCATTCTTTTTTCCTGTGCAACCCCTCAGCAACCAGGAGTGATGGCTGGCAGGCTGCTTCCCTGGGGGATACCTTTCCTGGGTGGGTAAGTAAAGGAGGAAGCAGGCTTCAATAGTCTTGGTTTGTCCTTCCCAATGTGGAGCCTCTGCCACAGGAGTCGGATGAGGTGGAGCCATCAAGGCTGTCATATTGTAAGTCTGTTGAGCCAGCAGTAGAGTTTCCTAGATATGAGCAGGGGCTCAGAATGCCTGACAAACTAAGTGAGACGAGCAGCATTAGAGGCTAATTCTTGTATTAAAACAGATTCTATATAAAAAGTGCCTTTTCCCTTATTCTCAATGAAAACTTTATCTTACAAGTTGAGTGTACCCTGAATTATTTCTGTTCCTATCATTTAAACCCTTAAAATGGGTGCTAGGGGTGGGGGAGGCTACAGCTTAATAGCTCCCTCCCTTGGGGGGCTCCTTCCCTTGGGAGCTCCATTCAGGTAAATTCAGAACATTGAGTCCACTACAGTAAAGAATTTCAGGACAAATCAGAGTGGAATAAAGTTACCGAGTTCATTAAATAAAGACAAGGCTAGCACACACTCACACTTCGTGTATACATAACTGCTGTCAGAGGGAGAGGGAGAGAGAAAGACAGAGAGAGAGACAGAGACGGGGACAGAGAGACAGACAGAGAGGGAGAGAGAGAGCACCTGACTGACTTAGGAATACATAACTCATATGCGATGGCTGTGGCTTCTCAGGAGACCCCACTCCCCACTGGAGTGTCTTTCCAAGGCTGCATGCAGGACTCAGCTCTCTCTAAGACACATTGCTCAAAGAGCATCATTTACAGCAACATTTACCGAGTAAGCAAAGCTTAAAAATTAAACAGTTCAAAACTGAAATAAAAACATATGAACTGGTTTACTTACTTATCATATGTTAAAGAATCCCTTTATGTAAATGAAATTACAAGGTGAACTTATGGGGTGTATCATTCAGGTTTAGGAAGGAGAGAGGGGTGCTAATAGGGTCTAACTCAAGGTTACAAATGCCCTGGCCCTTGATTTGTTGCTTTAGAGCATTGTTCCCTGAGATGCCTTTAGGAAAGCCAGCATTTCTGAAAGCTATCTCAGTGTTATCGGTTGTATTGGAATTTCTTTAAACACCAACTAGGTTTCCAGGTGAGGGCCGCCTTTCCCTTCCTGATGTCCCCTTGGTTTTTCCCCTCCTTACCATGGCCTTGAACTGAACATGCCCTAAAAATAGATCTACTATTTTTCCTTCTTAAATCATGACCTTAAAGTGAGCATGCTCAGGGGCGTGCCCACCGCTATGTAAATGGATCTAGGTTCCTTGGGTGAGGTCCTGTCTCTCTCGGTCTGAGAAGGGCATCAATTTTTAAATACTCTGATGCTCTCCTTGCCTGCTGCA